TTATTCTGTCAAACCTCTTTCCAACAGATCTCCCTCGTCCTGTCCTCACAGTGTCTCCATCATGGACGAGTCCTGGAGACTCAGTGACTCTGACCTGCAGTGTTGGACCTCCGTCTGCAGGATGGAGGTTCTTCTGGTATAAGGCTGTTCCAGACCTGTCAGACTACTACCCCTACTACACCTATGAGCTTCTAGCTGGTGGCACCAATGGGACTGAACAGGATTCCTACATTCTTCATGGACAGACACACACAGCAGGATATGTGTGCAGAGCTGGAAGAGGAGATCCTGTGTTTTACACTCAGTATAGTGATGTGAAGTTTGTCTGGTCTGGAGGTGAGTTTGTTCAGACTTTTATATTCTTGCACAAGGGAATAAATGTCCTTGTTGTGTTGACATTGTTTGTCCTGTGTGTGTCTCCTAATGTTGTGTCTTCAGGTGTGAATCCAGCAGCGTCTCTCACAGTGAGTCCTCACAGACTGCAGCACTTCAGCACAGAGTCACTGTCACTGATCTGTGAGGGAAACTCTACTAAGTGGAGAGTGAAGAAGGTTGATGAAGATGGTGACGTGTCAACCTGTTATAAGTGGGGAGAAATGACTGGATCCACATGCAACACCGACACTACAGCAAGTAGTGGAGTGTACTGGTGTGAGTCTGTAACACAGTCCAGCAATGCAGCCAACATCACTATACACAGTGAGTTTATATTCATTTAAAGGTTTTATATCTAAAGTATTTACACATCTTATTACAGAGTGCTGACATTTTTAAGGTGACTTCATGATGAGTTTAACTCAATATTTATTTTAACAAACGATTCAACAATCTTAATCTTTTCTCTGTATTATCCAACACGTCTTTGTGGTTTACTTTACTCTTCATGACCATTGACGTTCACCATTGACTTTAAACCAGGAGGAGCTGTAGAGTTATCTGCTCACTTTGTACCTTTTAGACCAGATGTGGGCAAACGTTTAGGCTCAGTGGCCACATTGACGTTATAGTTTGACAGACGGGTCGGGCAGCACCAGATGCAAACATATCAACCATTAACATAAAAGGCTTTACAGTGTTGATACTCACATTGACTTTTAATGGGAACAGTGCAGTCGATCATCCTTCTTTGCCGCTGCATCAAAGTCTGCTGTTAGTTTTGTTGTCAATTCTCAGAACAGATGTGAGGTGTTCATCACTCACTGTGACCTGTGAGGTGCTTTGTTGGTGTTCATCACTAAAAGTCTGTTCACACACGTAGAGACAAACAACAGCAGCATCTTCTGTGCCGTCTGCTGCATGTTTGGAAACTTGGCTTCATTTAATGAAATGTAAAACTCACTCAGTGACGTGTTGATTTAATATACATGTTTAATGAAGTGCTGATATAATATAATGTGGTGATAATTAATAAATGTTAACTAGTGTGAGAGAAAGTTACACTGATGCTGTTTAATTAGCTGATCTTTGTTTAAAAGGATAAATAATTAGATAATATTGATTAATTCATATAATACAAAAGTATGTTAAGACAAACCATCCCATATTTTATCCCTATTGACAAATTCTGAGTTAATTAGTTGATTAATTATTGATAACACAAATGGATCAAACACATCAGCAGAGTGTGGCGCCTCCTTCAGGTGAAATGTTCTCATTACTCAGTGAACCTTTTATTATTTATTACAGGGAGACTGACTTTGACATCTTCTTCTGTCTGCAACTTTATGTTAAATTATAATTATGTAGGAATCATAAATCACTGATATCTTGTATCATTGTTCATTTAATAAAACTGATTTAGTAAAGCAAAGAAGTAACTGTTCCACAGACAGAGATGTGACCCTTTAACTCCTGCGTCCTCCTTGTATGAAGGAGAATCAGTGACTCTTCACTGTCGACATGGAGACCAGAGAAAGGAGAAGAATGCTGACTTCTACAAAGACAAAACACTTATTGAGATGGACACAAACCATCAACACACACATGAAATCACCATTTCTCTGATGTCTGATGGGAGCTCTTACAAGTGCAGATTTAAGGACAAAGAATCTGAAATAGAATATTTGAAATGTGAGATTAGTTACTATGTTTAAAGACATTGTACCAAACACCTGTTTAACACATGAAGACAGATAAAAAGATGGAGGACATCAGCAGTGACAGTAATCCACCAAGGACTCATCATAACACGTCTTTATTCTGTCAAACCTCTTTCCAACAGGTGTCCCTCTTCCTGTCCTCACAGTGTCTCCATCATGGACGAGTCCTGGAGACTCAGTGACTCTGACCTGCAGTGTTGAACCTCCGTCTGCAGGATGGAGGTTCTTCTGGTATAAGGCTGTTCCACAACTGTCACGCTACCCCTACTACACCCATGAGCTTCTAGCTGGTGGCACCACTGGGACTGAACAGGATTCCTACATTCTTCATGGACAGACACACACAGCAGGATATGTGTGCAGAGCTGGAAGAGGAGATCCTGTGTCTTACACTCAGTATAGTGATGTGAAGTTTGTCTGGTCTGGAGGTGAGTTTGTTCAGACTTTTATATTCTTGCACAAGGGAATAAATGTCCTTTTTGCGTTGACATTGTTTGTCCTGTGTGTGTCTCCTAATGATGTGTCTTCAGGTGTGAATCCAGCAGCGTCTTTCACAGTGAGTCCTCACAGACTGCAGCACTTCAGCACAGAGTCACTGTCACTGATCTGTGAGGGAAACTCTACTGAGTGGAGAGTGATGACGGTTCATGAAGATGGTGACGTGTCATCATGTTCTGACTGGGGAGAAATGACTGGATCCACATGCAACACCACTAGAGCGCGTAGTGGAGTGTACTGGTGTGAGTCTGAAACACAGTTCAGCAATGCAGCCAACATCACTATACACAGTGAGTTTCTATTCATTTAAAGGTTTTTATATCTAAAGTATTTACACATCTTATTACAGAGTGCTGACATTTTTAAGGTGACTTCATGATGAGTTTAACTCAACATTTATTTTAACCAACAATTCAACAATCTAAGTTTGTTGCAGTATTATTTCTCTGTATTATCCAACACGTCTTTGTGGTTTACTTTCCTCTTTATGACCATTGACATCCACCATTGACTTTAAACCAGGAGGAGCTGTAGAGTTATCTGCTCACTTTGTACCTTTTAGACCATTCTGCAGCTCACTGCCACTAAGTGGACATTTGTCTCCCGACATATTGAGCATTAATTAAAGATGTAACTGTGAGCATGTACGTCACCAAAGGGCCGTCTCTTCCATCCATGAAATGCAGCTATTCACTCAGCTACTGTGTGAATGTGAATAACAAATGTAAACTATAAATGTCTTCTCCTCATTGTTCATCAGCTTGTTTGACTTCCTGTCCTCTGGTCTCTTTACAGGAGGTGATGTCATCCTGGTGAGTCCTGTCCGTCCTGTGACTGAGGGACATTCCGTCACTCTTGGCTGCAAGTTGAGGACAGAAAACCTTCTTTATAATGTGGATTTCTATAAAAATGACAAACTCATCCCAAATCCTGTCAGAGGGGAGCTGCTTATCTCTGCAGTTACTAAGTCAGATGAAGGCTTTTATAAATGTAGAGGAAGGAAATCACCTCAAGGTTTGGAGACTTTGACCTCAGCAGAGAGCTGGTTGTCAGTGAAATGTGAGTACGAGTTTTGTAACATGTGTTACAGTCTGAGTGAGAAAAGGTGTCACTGAATTAGAAGTTATCTTAAGATAAACTATTTGTTTGTGTGAGACAATATACTTTTAAAGAAGTTCATGTTCAGTAAAAACACATAATATTAGAGATGTAACATGACCAGCAGTGAAAGGTGAATGTTGTGTGATCAAGGCTTCATGTTTGTGTATTTGAGTGTGTGTGTTGTAGTACTTGTTTAGTAGTACTTGTTTAGTACTACAACACATTAATACCTGTGTTTTTACTAGTTTTACTTTGTTTTAAGTATGTTTTTCTGGCTCTGTGACACTCTGAGATCTGTTGATGAAGAGTGTGTTATAAATAAACTGTATTATTATTGTTACTTGTGTATCTCTTCATGGTTGGTGTGTACTTGTGTGTAGATCCTGAAGAAGCAGCATCAAGCTCTGTGTTTCTCGTGCCGTTGGTTGTTGGTCTGGTTTCTGGAGTTTTTCTGATTATTCTCCTGCTGCTGTTTCTGCGTCGCTACAGAAAGTCAGAAGGTGAGGTCTTTTCCTTCTGATATCAGACTGATTTTACTGAAATAAGTCAAAGTCACAGATATTATTACACACACTAATTAATGATCAATGTGAAACCTTTTTCTTGCAGCTTCCAGCCTCAGCAGGTTGGTACAAGCCTCTCTTCTCTCACTCTGAACACGGCAGCAGGACTTTACATGTTCCTCATTAAATCCTCTGTATTTACTTCATGTTTTGGACCCACAAGGTCTCAGAGGACCAATCAGAGTCCAGCTACAGACCACATGATCAACCAGGGTGAAACTCAAGATGGACATTACGCTTCTCTTCTTCATGGTCAGCTTTAATCCTGATTTATTTAATAATGTGTTCTTAACTTTAATGCTAACATTTCCATTTCTGGTTATCTGCTTGAGAAGATTCTATAATTGATACAAAGTGGTTCAAATGATTGATACGACCTCGTCTTTATCCTCACTGCTCTGCAGGTGATTCTTGTCTCTATGAAGCAATCGGAGGCTCTGAAGAACCTGAACATGGTGCAGTAAATCCTGTGTGTTCATCACACAGCTGTTAAAATACTAGAATCAGATGATCAAGTGACTGGTTGACCGTCCTTTAAATTAAAGACAAAGTGTATCGATGATGTCACAGATTCTGTGTTTGAGCTTAAAGACATTGATGGTTAATGTGAATACTTCTATAAGGGAACAAGCTGCAGCAGTTGAGATGCTTTTGTAGGCCAGCAGAGCTTTAATAAAGGAGAATAAAGTGTCTCTTCATGCATTCATCTGATCCTTCTAACAGGGACAAATGATGAACCAGAGGAGAGAGTTTATGAAAATGTGAGGATGGAAACAGCTGCAGGTACTTCAAGTACAACACACCATGTAGTACAATCTGAGTGTACTTGTGTATTACTACCAGCAGTCAGCAAAGGTCAACACAACACTTACACCTGTTACTCTTAAATAACCTTTAATCTCTTTTATCAGATGGATAAAAACATCTGCATGGACAGAACCAGGGGAACGGATGACGACATGAAAAACCACATCTTTGTCTTTCTGAGTAATTATTGTGTCAACTTCTTCTTTCCTGATATGAGACAGTATTTTGCAGTTAACCCACGGAATGATCATTTAACGGAAATACATCATATGTCTTTAAAATAATAGATTATTACATATATACTTATTCAAATGTTGGTTTTTAGTGTTTACTGTACATACAATTTAATCTCCTCAGTCACTTTGTTTATTGAAGCTTTTTTGAATGGAGGCTTGTTTGAAAAGCAGAAAAAAGCAGTTTGACGTCTTTGAGCTTCAGTACGTTTGTGATATTAATCAATATAAAGTAATCGTTTCTTTTATTTCTGATTTTAAAAAAGCTTTTAGCATTCATTACACATTTATTAGTTATTGAACAACATATTTCTCCAACACTTAAGTTTATCTTTGTCTTTTTAAGAGTTTTAACAGGTGCTGTTTGTATTTCATCTTCACCTGTTTGTGTTTAATACATTTTGTAATGTTTTATCTTTTTATGCATCAATAAACTTGCAGCTCTAAGCAGTGTTTCCTACAGTCATTTCTTTAGATAAATAAATATTAGAGATTACAGGGAACGTATGTCCACATGCTCCTCCTGCATCACATTAGTAAGATTCATCTAAAGAAATTAAAATGTCTCTGTGAAATAGGTAAAGTATCACAGTTAAATGTCTTAAAGCTGCATCAGTGATTCTCTCCCCTGTTCAGTGCTCCCTGTGATGTGCATTCATGCAGCCTGATTCCTCATCCTCTCTCTCTGCATCTCATACTCACAACAACTCAGAACTACGTGCTCACTGACTCCTCCTCTGCACGTCCGTCACTCAACGCCGTCTGCTGTTTCTCTGTCATGTTCACTGGGTTGTTTTACTACTTTTAATTCGAAAAGGTAAAACTGTCCGTTTGAGGTATGGAATTTATTAAAGAATGGCCATAAAAAAACAAAAAAGAAAAGGCCTCCCTTCTCAGTAGAGATTTCACAGCTTCACCATCACAAGATGAAGTTACACAATATCTCCTAATGTCTCCAGTCTCCAGTATTATTTTTTTTTAATTAAAAACATTTTTGCTTCGTAATGAGGAAGACTTTACTTTAAGTGTCCTCAAGCATATATCATTCTTTATTACAGCCTATGCGGTTGTTGGAGGACCAGCCGCTGCTGGAGGCTACAAGGATGCAGCCTAGACGGACTTTGAGACACAGCTACAGCCGCCCTTAAGACGCCATTAAGCCACGATACCTTTGACACGGGCGCCCTCTGCTGGGGGAGTTTGAAGGAAGGAAAGTCACAGAGAGTCGGGCAACTCCACCAGAGCAGCGGTTCCCAAATGTCTTGGGACACGCCCCCTTCTACATCCTTCTCCACCCTTCTACATGCTGACTGTGTTCAGGCACCCTCAGTCCCTCACAGTGACAAATAGAAAAAGAAACCAATGAGAGAACAGTTTGCTGATGCGTGGTGTATGTTTACAATACTTCAGTGTCAAATGTAGCAGTGTGAACACAAACAGAACAAACTGCAACATTGTATCGTATTAATCCAGAATCGAACAAATCGTTCTGAATCCTCAGTTCAGATCCATTCTGTCAGGGCTGCCAAATGTACTCAAGCAAATTCACCCAATCTGTAAGAGAAAATCCAACATTTGGACTGGCAAAGCCAGTAATGGTTAGTGGTCTGTGTAGTATTCATTTGATATTCTTGCATTTGAGGGAAGAGATTATTTTCTTTAATTAAAGCTGCACACTCAGAAGTCAGTTTGATGCGTCACACATGAAATGCAGAATAACCTGAGATCAGGACCGGGTTCATAAGCTCAACCCCCTCATTGGGTTCAAGACACAGAGATTTGTTCATCATCGCCATCATGGTCGAGTTGTACGACACAAAGTCAGACTTGAGACCTTGAGAAAAAGAAACTTTTTCCTGCTACAAATGATCTCTTTCTGGTTCTGGTTGAATCAAATGCTGAAATTTAAACAGCATTATCTGTGCAGGCTCCTTCGTTTTGGATTAGAGAGAATTCCACCGCTTACTTCTGACTCCACCTCGCAGTGAATTCAACTTGAAATGGACCTGAAAGAATTCCTGCTTCATTAGCAGCAACAGTGCAGATAAATCAAATCAAAGTCAAAACACTGAATGTCAACACATGTGTGAATAATGAGAAACTACACAATGAAATTGTTTTATTGCAAAAATAAAGATAAAACCTTCGTAATTTTTATCTCTAATTTAAATAGAGGCTATAAATGTAAATAGTGACGTAATGCAGATACTCTTTAATTTGAAGCGCATTTTCATATGAAAGCTACATGCATTCAGTCTTTTGTTCTTAAAAGTCTTTGCAGGATACAACTTTATTCAGGTTTAGGCAACACAACGACTTAGTTGAGATCATGAAATTCCTAGTTGGAGTTGGACAATAAAACTAGAACTGAAGAAAGAGGCTTTTTTGTTTCTTATGGAGAAAAAAAGACGTCACCTTTGCAGTCTTTATACTTCCATGTTTATGATTAAGTGAATATCGAGCAACACATTTCTGTGGGATAAGTACATGTATGTGGGGCTATACGAGTACATGAGGGTCACAATATGTGGTTCTCATTCTTCATTCCGATGTAAACAGCATGAAGAGACACACTTCAGACCCATCTCCACATCTCCACATCTTCCCCTCGGCGTCCTGGATCAGATGTCGCAGCGGAACTGAAGAGTGACGTCTGTCATCTTCTTCTTGTAGTCTTCATCAAACTGGAGACTCTGGGCCTCAGTGAAGTGGTTCTTCCAGTCACCGACTTTCCCTGCAAATACTCTGGTGTTTTAGCTCAAAGTGGAGGGTTGTTGTCACACACATTTATTCATTCGAGTTACCTTTTCTCATGAAAGGAGAGATTTTAAAGTCCATCACAACCACGTTGGAGTAATTGACCATGTCGTTCTTTTTCATGTTATCAAAATGCGCTCCATCAGCAATTCTCTTCTTCTCCTCGTCCGAACGGGACAAACCCAGAAAGCAGCAGAGCTTCTCTATTTCCCGTCCGGTGTCCTGGAAACACAGTGGGATGTTGTTGTTGTTGTTGTTGGCGTTATCACCGGCTCGGGGAGACGAGCCCCACGGTCACAACTACATCACCTCCACCAGATCCTCGTAGAAAACGTAATGGAGCTTCGGGTAAGTCTGCTTCTTCTTCCACCAGCCGTTCACGTGGTCGTACCAGGACCCGAACACCACTGAGGCCCCCGGAACCAAAACACCAAAGCACCAAAGCACCTCAGGAGTCGCTCAAGGGGGAAATCTGTGCAGCTCACCGGCCGTTTCGTCGTGCTTCACACTTACATTTCCCCTCCATGAACCGGTGGACGTAGCCGCTCCAGTCTCCGGGCTCCGGCTGCATCATGTTCATGCGATCGAAGTGGAAATAAGACACCGCGTTGTCTTTGGCATTGCGGGCCACGTAGATGATCTACAAGAGAAGGAGACAGTTAAGTGATTTCCCAGCTCGGTGTCTCCAGCTGGTCGTCATTACATGAATCGCTGCCGCTTTTGTTTGGACGGTTATTTCATTCCCTGGAGTTTCCCCATTTCCTGTTTGGCAAACAGGCCGCGAGCGTCCGGTGAGGAAACAATCCTCATGTGCTACTTTGTTCGTCTGTTTCAGCAGCTTTCATTTCATGTCAACAACAGAAACTACTGACCCTGCAGTTTTGCTCCCAGAAGGACTTTGGCACAAACTGCACAGGAAGGTGAGTTTTAATGATTCGAGGAGAGGTGGGGAGGTTGTCCGCGTCGTCTTTTCCTGCAGGAAGAGTGGAGGAAGGTGGAGAGAGCAAAGCATTGGACCGGGACGGTTCTTCAACAGTTCGACACAGCTTGCAGCGAGGCGCCTGAAATACCTGAACCAAAATCTGGGATCGTGATCTCCAAGAAAGGCACTCTTTTAAATATCGGGACAGATGTCTGGCGCTCTGTCTGGCCGAAGTACAAGAGGTCGAGGATGTAGGACACCCATGTGGTTCCTAAAAGACAGAGAGGACAATCAATTGATCCCAAGCCCTCACCTCTATGCACACATTGTAGGATCTACAAAGCGTCTCAACCGGTTTTTAATGTATACCTGCTTTGGGGTATGTTGCAACGAGAATATCATCCGGCCGGGCCTGGAAGTTCTGAATGTTCTCCCAGTTGTCTGTGAAGAAGTGTATCATCGAGACTCCCTGGAAATCAAAGATTTCCGGTCGAGGCGGTACCTGAAAAAAACCAAACCATGAATTCACCCGGAGCGTCCGTAATGCAACTGCATCTAAAGGATCGCGTGGAAAAGAATTGAAACATGGTCCCCGGGCGGAGGCAGACAGTGAATTCAGGTTTCAGAGGAAGCTTGTGGGGATCTGCTTTGTGTCTGCATGGTCCTACGTGTGTTTTCTTTATGCCTTCTAAGAATACCGCAAGTCGTCACATGAAACGAGAGAAAAGGAAACCGGTCGCCCTGTGAACTCCGTAGTGTAAATACAGGACGCACTGTCATGTAAAACTCAATCCCCTTTTCTCTTTCTTGCCTCTTTGACCGTTTAACTCTTTAACTCTTTTATCAACAGAGACACTGACCTGATCCGGACCAGAGGACATGCTGGCGGCTGCTGGCTCCTCTGCTGTAGACTTTTCTCTTTTCCTGCTTCAGCTGTTTACCAGAGAAGCAAACACACGTCCTTCCTTCCTCTCTGTTCTCGTTGCGTAACACTTGGACCTATTTAATAGGAGGCTCGATCTTTGGGCCGATACGGGACGCCCGCCCTGCCCTCCCCCCCCCTGCATTCCATGTTCCGGATTCCCTGTTCTCACAGAACGATGCCCGAACACGAAACCGCAGTTCAACAAAAACCTGCTTGTGGTGGGAATGTCTTACACACCTGACTGTGACTCTCAAGAAGCTTAGATTCTTGTTGTCTCTAACGCGTAGTTCAGTGTGAGTCTTGTCGAGATAAGTAATCTTGGCGCTTTTGAGATGGACTTTCAGTGAACTGGAGGAGGTAAAAAAAACAACCTGACAGGAGTGGAGGGGGGCAATGTACAACTGCGAATGTATTGCAAGCTGTTAGTGAAAAAATGTATTATGCGGCTGTTTCCTCGACAGCGGTGTGAAACCATTGAAGAGGACATTTATTAAATGAGAGCATTGCCATTGAGGAGATGTGAGAGAACACTTTGTTTACACCTAAACAAATACACTTTACAAAAAAAAAAGAGCGTTTCTGGGATACTGACCTTATCCTGAATTGATTGTATTATTTAAACGTATAGTTTATCACAGGAACACCGTGTCTCAGTTCAAGGGGTCACTGACATTCTGTCACTCACACTGGACCCTATTTGATTTTTCGAAATTTGAAAATAAGGTGAAACGTAATCTATCAAAGAATCCATGTTATGAGAATATGTTGACTTACTCTGGAGATTGAGTGATATACTGGCCAATAAATCAATAGGCATGTTTAACCTTTAGTTAATAAGTAACAAGAAACTACAGGACAAACAGACCAAATATATGTTTGAAGTAATTTATGAAGGTAATGGTTAATTTATATATATATATATTTCTTAACAATTAAAATTGTGTTTACCAGTATTGAAATAATAAGTCCTGATCTGGTCTGGTGACCTTTTTTGTGAGCAGGCAACCGAAAGGTCTTCAAAAGGCAAGAAGGTGGACCTTGATTAGAGATTGTTAAGTTGTGTTCAAGAAAAAATAAACTCCTCACTATCAAATGAGTATAAATACCATCAGGAAATGTTGTGGCTTTTTAAGTTTACGGTTATTTTAAAACGTTTATTTTAATCAAATTAAATTTCAACTTTTGTTTTCTTTCTTTCTTTAAAAATATGGTGTTTTCGTTTATGCCAAACTAGAGTTTGACTTTTTTTTCCCTCTGATATGAATATTGTCAGGAAATACTACCGATTAATATGTTAAGTGGGGCAACCTGGTAAAATATTAAAAGTGAATGCTAAACATTTAGGTTGAAATAAAAAAAGATAACTTATTATGCTCTGAATGGAATGAATTCATTTGTATTGGTATCCCCTGTTATAAAAGTAAAATCCCCCTGTTATAAAAGTAAAATCCAAATAAGTACCCGATGAAGAGAACGCATTTATTGCAACATTATTGCATATATAAACTACAACCACAAAATACTAGTATCAGCGACTGTGGACTCTCCAAAGGATTATTTACAGAATTTTATGATGAAAATGAATACATTTCATAAATATGTGGTTGTGGCTGACATTTGTTTGGCTTGATTTAAAACACTTTGAAAAGTTATACATCCACATAGACTTGTTTATCCACATTGTCCCTCAATGTATTCATTACATCTAGGACATTGTTTTTTCAACTACCTCTTTATACGGCGTATTTGTCTTTGACCCATATGTATATTTATCTATAAGCAGAAAAATACACAAATTTGCCGGAAGTGACCCATTCAGACGTGACGTCACAGGAAGTAAAAAACATACACAACAAAGATGGCGTCCACAGGCGACCAAGCGGCGAAAGCCGCACACGTGGAGAAAAAGAAGACGGTAACGACGATTTAATCATTATTAACAGCGTCTAACTTGACATACCGTCCGCCGACACGCGCTAACGCGGGACTTTTCACCCCGACGCGCACAACGTGGCGTTAGCGCCGTTAGCATCGCGCGGCTAACGCCAGCAGCGCGCGTGCGGGTGTGGGGGTCCCGGGCGCGGGGCGAGGCGAGGCTCAGCCGCCGACACTGCGCACAAACAAACCGGTGTTGTTCTCAAGAGTTTTGCTCCTCTTCCGCAGCCTGCGGCTCGCTACTGGAAGGACCCGCAGGAGGTGGCGAGGAAGGATGGGAACAACGTGGGGAAGACGGGACAGCAGCAGGCGCAGAAAGCGAACAAAAGAAGACTGGTTGAAGATTCAGAAGATGAAGAACAAGTCCTATCCGGGGTGAGTTATGCGCTCTTTTTCATTCTAAGAAGTAGGTACGAGAATCTGTCCACCCAGCTCTTAATTGAGGCCATACATCTAATCCATCGGATCTACATGAAGTAACTACCTCTCTTTTATAAACACGTCATTTAGCTGACGCTTTCATCCAAAGCGACTTCCAATAAGTGCATTCAAGCATATGGATACAAACATCTTCACGTTAAACCCAGCGTGTTCTGCTCTCAGAAGTCCGACCCTTTCCCGGGCCCTGCTCCTATTCCAGAAGACCGGTTGCAGAAGTTCAAGAGGAAAGATAAAACTAAGACGGTGAGCACCACCACGACGCTCGTTGACACACTTTTGGTAAATAAATGGGAGTTAACCAACATCTCGTTCTTCTTCTGGTCGCAGTCTCGCAGCCAGCATTACAAGCTGAAGGACATCATCACGCGCTCCGAGGAAACCTCGGAAATGGCCCAGAAACAAGCCGCTCGCCTTGACCTCGTGCTCCCGGAGGATGCTGGGTAATTTCTCCCAAAAATGTTGGCGCTCTCCTCCCTCGTCACAGCGGACGGTGTGACTGTGAGGAAACATTCAACGTTTACGGCGAGTTCTGAGGGTGACGCGTTTTTCTCTCTCCTCAGGTTCCTAGAAGGCGACGAAGACGAGGACACCTGTACCATATCTCAGGAGGACATCGCGGACTCCGTTGATATAACATCAGCCACGAAGGTCAGATGTAGACAGATGCTGGATATCACGTTAATAAACGTTTCTCTCGTTTTTCTTTTCCCCCCAACTGAATGTAATCAAATGTGAGCTCCTAGCTTGACAAATGCAGTTTTTTATATCCTAATTGTACTGAAGCTACAGTTGGTTAAAATGATTAGTGTTCCCTGTTTTTTGCCTTTTTTAAAAAAAATGTGTTATTTTTCTCCTTCCTGCACAGCATTTCAGCCTGAAACTGTCTCAGTTCGGACCGTACCGAGTGGATTACAGCAACACGGGACGGTGAGAAAATGTCTCACAGCGGCCGCGTCGATCTTCCCCTGATGGAAACATTGAGGTCAATGCGTTGTGTGTGTGTGTTTTTTCTTCCTTCTCTTCAGTCAGCTGCTGCTCGGTGGGAGGAGAGGCCACGTTGCTTGCATCGACTGGCAGACCAAACACCTCATGTGTGAGATAAACGTGATGGAGTCCGTCAACGACGTGAAGTGAGTCGTCCCGCGCACATCTTCCGAGTCACTCTTGGCAGTCTGTCCTGTAACTAAATAGCACAAAATGGTTTCCTTGTGTTTCCACGAAGGTGGCTCCACAGTGAGGCCATGTATGCGGTGGCTCAGAAGAAGTGCCTCTATATCTACGACTCCAAAGGAATCGAGCTTCACTGCATCCGCAAATTCAACGACGTCCTCCGGATGCAGTTTCTGCCTTTCCACTTCCTGCTCGTCACCGCGGTGGGTTCAATGAAGCCAAACTCATAGGTTTTGTGCACAGCGTTAATTATGAATCTGTGACCGCAGTAACGATGCTGCAATTATTACAAGTTAATTAAGACTGGAAATTAGAAATAAAAATGAGTCACAGTGAGATTTACTGACTGGAGCCACCACTGGAATTGGTTTCTTCAAAGAGTGAACCGCTAATAATGTGCGTCTGAATGATCTTTATCTGAAACGGTGCAGAAGCTCAGGGCTCACGCAGAATGTGGCCTACTCAGTAAACCAATAAGTGCAAACACACACACACAGTGTTGCATCCCGGCTCCTCTCAGCACTGACGAACCGTCCCTCCCTCAGAGCGCCACCAGCTTCCTGCAGTACCTGGATGTGTCCGTGGGGAAGGAGGTGTCGGCCACCTGCACCAAGACGGGCCGGCTCGACGTGATGTGCCAGAACCCTCACAACGCCATCGTCCACCTCGGCCACTCCAACGGCACGGTCACCCTCTGGTCGCCCAATCAGAAAGAAGCCCTGGCCAAGATGCTCTGTCACCAGGGCGCCGTGCGCTCCGTCGCCGTGGACAAGACGGGCATGTGAGTCGCCTTGAAGCGTTCACTCTCCTTTCTATTTGGCCATTTCTCTGCGTTGGTCAACATGAACTGCGGTTTCCTCTTTGTCCACCAGAGAGCAATGTCGTTGTGTTCTCCTCCTGGCAGGTACATGGTGACCTCCGGTATGGATAAAAAGATGAAGGTATACGACATTAGATCCTTCAAGCCCCTCAAGTCCTACTTCCTCCCCGCTGGAGCTTCCTGCCTGTCGCTGAGCCAGAGGGGACTTCTGTCCGCGGCCACGGGGGACATTGTGCAGGTCACTTTTCTCTTTGTGGTCATTAAAAACAAAAACATCTGACGTACAGGAAGTGGTCAGTTTGGGGAACCGGTTTAATATTTAAAAACAGAAGTCGTCGTGTCGGAAAGGACCTCACATGTTTCCCACATGGCGCAACGCAACCTGGTGTTATATATGAGTGTAAAGTACAGACTCTTATCTGAGACAAGATGTTGTTGCGTCATTCATTTTTAATTATTGCAAACTGCGGCTGAGCTTTTGTCAATTGTTTTCAACATTTCCTTCTCAGATGAGTTCAGGTACAAATGAGTTTAGATGTTTAAGGAAAAGAAGATATTTGTGTCTTGTGGCCGGAGATACAAATAAAAAAACAATGCAAGATTTTGCACATTTCACCTTGATTTTAAATCGTAACTTTTTACCCTCCTGTCCCGTTAAAACGCTCTCCCTGCAGGTGTACAGAGACGTGTGGAGCACCCCAGTGACTAAACCCTACATGGCTCACAGGGTTCAAAAAGCTGTGTGGGGGATGCACTTCTGTCCCTTTGAGGACGTCCTCGGTGTGGGACACGGAGACGGCTTCACCAGCCTGCTCGTACCAGGTCCGACTGGCTTTCACATGTGTAGAAGTGGACTTTCTAACAGGCCTTTCTCTTTGCTCCGCTCACATTTATGATTCCCCTTCTCCAGGGGCGGGAGAGCCCAACTTCGACGGCCTGGGGGCCAATCCGTACCGCAGCGCCAAGCAGAGGCAGGAGTGGGAGGTCAAGGCGCTGCTGGAGAAGATCCAGCCAGATCTCATCACCCTCGACCCCACGGAGCTGGGGAGGGTGGACCACGCCACCTTTGAGATGAAGCACCAAGACCGGGTCCAAGCCCTGGTCAGTGTCCGGATGCATCTAGTCTTATTTTGGACAGCGGATCTAAACATTTGGTGCATTATCATTCACATCCTTCTAAAAGCTTGGTTTTTGTTTGTCTTCACAGGGCTTTGACCCGTTAGCCAAACAGAAATTTGTTCCCAGGTACAAGAAAAAAGGTCGAAGTTCGGCCGGGAATCATGAAAAGCGCAAGAGGAAAGTCGCCCATGAGGATCTGAGGGTAAGTGATCTGGAATGTTTGATTTAAAAAATGTGATGAGCTGAATCTTTCTTGCCATGTCTGCTTTGTTTGGCTCATCTCCCACTCACATTAACCCTCCAGGAGGACATCCAGAAAACCGCCGAGGCCAACGTGACGACTGAAAGAGAGAGAAAGGAGAAGAAGGAGGTGCTTCTGTCGGGCAAGAGATCTGCTCTGGACAGATTCAAAAAATAGAAAGGGGGGGGCGCTTTGTGCCGGCCGGAAACCCGTGACATCCTGTGGGCGTGACTCTTGAACTTTGCATAAAGGAGCCATTTCTCCGCTGGGGGGGGGAAGGAAACAAGAAACTCTGACTGTCAGAATGAGCAGTCGTTCTAATGGGTGTCACCTTTTGCGAAATCAATGTTGAGTTGAATCAAAAGAGCAACTGGGTTTGGTGCCTGAAGCCGGCGGCACTTCCTGTCTGCGCGGCTGCGTGAAGTGGCGCCCACCTCATCCGGAGCGAAGTGTTGTTCCTCTTTGCTGATGCAACACATTTCTGACCTTGTCGAATGGAATGCGTTGGTGGACGAACTGACTGCGCAAAGGCCAAATGTTTTATATAAAGACGTTCAAAGAATAAACAAAGCTTCCAAATTCAGAGTTGTTGTTTTTTTTTTTTATGTCGCGGCCCGAAATGTGAAATGTGCTCGCTGGTACGTCAGCGACTCAGAACGGGTTGTTGAACAAACGGCGTCTCTCCTCCGTTCAGCGGAAGGTGCGTCCGACCTCAAGTCTTGCGTAACCACGACAAGACAAGAACTCGTAGTTCCCCCAAAAGTCTATTTTTGAAACTTCTAAGTAACGCAGAGCAGAAACAATGTGTCCGCCGCGCCTTCATCTAAGATTGGCAGTTGCACCGGTAATAACTGGAACGGCCGGCTAGATGGAACACGTGAGAGCGACAGTTACGCTTCCTCTTACATTTCGTCACGGGTCATTGAGCCAAATGGACTTGCATTACATTTTTCTAACCCATGGTTTTTACGTTTTGCCCGGGGAGCAATTAGGGGTTCTGTGTCTTGCTCCGGGACACGGAGCAGCCAGGGTTCGAGCCGCCAACCCTGCGGCTCCCGGCGCGCCCTCTCTACTCCACGCGCCGCCGTCGACCCCGTTTTAATTTGACTCCGAGCTTAATTAGTAACTAACCCGGCCGAGGAGTCCGATAACACTTGTTCTTCAAAGAAGCGACAATGCCCGGTGCTCGTATCGCCGTTTAGAGCCACGTTGTTTGCGTGAACGTCTCATAGTTCACCTTTGAGCAGTTTCATGTGGCGGTCAAAGCTCTCGGCGATTATCTTGACTGACTGGTTTCTTCTTTGGCGTGGAGCCGAGTGTCAGCTGGTCTCCCAAAGTGCCGTCAATACAAACCACCTAGATTGACCAAAAACAGCAAATAGAGAAGATGCATATTGGTGAAAGCAAGTAAAAAGAGGACCAACGTCATCAGGCGTCCTCTTCCTGCTTTGCAAGTGGGTTGTGAAACGCTGGCTTTCACGTTCTGGCAGTTGGTGAAGTGGAGAGACTGACGTGACAACGAAGCGGAACTGTGCACCAAAGAAAAGGACGTTAGGCAAATGATGCAGAGCGGTTTATTTGTGACGGCATTTGCGTCCAACATACAAATATGTTTTCACGACTCGGGGCTTCATCCTGACATGCTGGGAACTGTCTGAAATCACACTACTCTAATACTTAAGTGCACATTGGGAGGCAGCGAGTTACCAACCCTAGAATAACAAAGAGCAAGTTCCTCCCTCCAATTTGAAAACTGCTCCATTAAGGTCGCCCTCAAGCTCACGACTATTTTTACTTAAGAAAACACAATACTTAGAACTCCTCCACGTCCTCTTTTGAGCATTAGTGTTTTGGCAGATATTTATTTATGCATCTCCCCTTCCTGCTGGGTATGTGACGCCTTTGTATCTACGGTTCCAGTTGGAGCATCATGCAGTGAGGTGTCTTAATAGACTAACATCTATACTTTAAGGCCCCCCCTCCAGGGCTTTGTGTTTAAATAAGTGCGTCAGTGTCTAAAGAAAAGCCACCGGGACAATTCTCCATTCTGCTGTGCAAGTGTTTAAAAAAATAAAGCTCTAAAAACACAAAAACTGACATTTTTACAGCCCCCCCCACCCCCACCCCTTCCGTCACAAACCCTGCTCCAGCCCCAGCGCGTAGCCGAGCATCGCCCTGACCTTGCAGAAGCCCAGCGAGGCGCGCTGACTCAGCCAGGAGCAAGGCTTGGACGTCTGGGCGTCGGCCCAGTAGTGCAGCATCTCCCTGGGGGGCACGTGGTGGACGGACACCATGGCCTGATAGCAGCAGCGGCCGTACGGCACCCCGGGGCCCCCGGAGAACAGCGGGCAGTGCGAGGGCCGCACTCCGGCCGCCCGGGCGCACAGGCCCACGAACACGTCCTCGGGGGGCAGAGGCGTGGATAAAGGCGACGCGGAGGCCGCCAGGGACACCTTGAGCAATGCGGAGCGGGACAGGACGTAGGCTGTGCCGCTGCAGTAGTCCGGGAAGACCGGGCGAGGGTAGGCCCCCGAAGGGAGGTAGTGCTTGCTCCCCGGGTCGCGGTCCGGGGCCACGTGGAGATGCACCCTGCCGAGGTACAGGTCGCCCTGCTCGTAGGGGTTCTGGCTCCTGTTCAGGAAGTGCAGGAGGGCGCCGGGGTTGAACAGGACGTCGTCGTCCACTTTGGCCATGAAGTGAGCCTGGGGGCAGAACCGGCGGGCCCAGCCCAGCATGGACAGGGTCTTCAGGGTGAGGTTGGAGTAGGTGTCGAGGAAACGGCCCTGCACCAGATCCCCCCGCTCCCTGGCCTCCTCTATCAGCAGCTTGGCCAGCCGCGGGTCGGACGCGGCGCCCACCATGAAGAGGGTCACGACCCGCAGGCCCCTCACTTTCACCTCCCCGCCCCACGTTTCCCTGATGGCCTGGCGCGCCCTCTGGTTGGCGGGCGCCGAGGTAACCATGGTGACGAGGAAAGGCTTTGCGCGCTGGCAGATGAGCGGGCTGGGCATGAGCAGGAACTCCTCCGCCCGGGTGGGGGGCACGCTCTGCGGGGGGATGATGGCGCCGGCGTGCGGCTCCACCGCCGTGTCCATGCCGAGGGAGGTGACCCACGACTCGATGAGGTCCACGAAGAGCAGGGCCGGCAGGAGCGCGCCCGCCGCCGCCGCCGCGCACACCCAGAGCCGGCCGCCTCGCTTCCCGAACCGGGGCTTGCACCCCCGGAGCCCCCGGCCGACCATGACCGACCTGCGCAGCGCTCCTCCGAAGACCGCCGTCGTTGCTCCCTCTCGGTCCTCCTGGTTAAAATGCGCGCAGCATCGTTATGCGCGTTCCTGTGCGCTCGCTCGCGGGTTGCTCGGTGGAGGTTGTGGCGAAAGACGCCAGAGCGCCTCGTGTGAATGCGGCAGCCCGGTCCTGGTTTGTAAGGGTGTGCGTGTGCGTGGGTGTGTAAAGGGAGATAAGCAGCTGCGCAAATGAAACGGTCGCCCCCCCCCCCGCCCGGCCGGCCGACTGCAGCTCCATGTTTGGTATGGGAGTTGGGAGCCGTGCTCAAGAGGGGGGGGGGGGGGGGGGTCCTGTCATCAATATGATCCCTGCACTCAACACCGAGATGTCCATGTTCAAATGTGACACCTTCATTCGTTCTAGCTACAAGATCCCGGTTCCGATTATAGATCCGCAATGGGGGGCAAACAGCGGCGGAGCATCTGTTCTCTGTACAGGGGATCGAACGGAAATGATCGATGAGCTTTGGCCAATTATATAATTCACATTACAACCATAAAATCACGCAGGGAAAAACGACGAGGATATCTTCCTTTGTTTATGATTGCACATATAATCATCATCATAATAATAATAGTCACGGTCACTACACGGTCCTCGTAAACATCAGGTAGCATCACACCTAGCGGTGCGCAGCGACGCCTGGTGGTCATCTGGAGGTACTCATTTATTTTGCTGAGCTTGGCTCGTTATATTTCCATAAAATATGAGAGTTATTGTCCACTGCAGAGATCTAACCGAGGTCACCACTGGTGTAAGTAGACGTATAAAAGGTAGTCATTTGTTTATTCAGTGTTGTATTTATCCTGAGACAGAGTTGTTAACACAACCACATAAATCCCAATTTCTTTAAATAACATGTCTTGAAATTCTGGAGAAATATATATATATATATATATATATAAATAAATAAATATATTTATATTCATATATATATATATATATATATATACATACATTTATATTTATATATGTATATATTTATATATAATAATGTAAATAAAGCCGGGCACAGTAAATACATTGAGCATTGCGATTTATGCGTGGTGTGTTTCCCACAGAACAAGGGAGAAAAGTACATGTGTCTGCTCCTTTATCGTCATTAAAAAACTATTGGCACACTGATTTTTGTAAACATTTATGTTTTCTTATTACTTAAATGTACAAATAATATATACATTATGGATTATATTCGTACTGCAACAAACATTGTGACAATATAAAAAATACTAGTACGCTTATACTCGCTTATAAGTCTGTCTCTGAAAACCTGCATGGCACAACAGACAAAGGTTGTTTGTTTTATGTTGTAGCAAAGCTCGGCAATTTTTTGTAAATTCATTTTACCAATTCAAATCTTTATACGATTAAAAATATTAATCTCTGGAAATTAGACTTCTAAATGAGTGCAATTTCAAGTAACGTGTTATGAGGATACGTTCTTTCATTTTCTAAACCTTAATATTCTGTAATACTTTCTTACTTGTAAAAATATAGTGGTTCTCAAAAAATGTTCAATCTTTATGTCATTGTATATCATTGACTCAGAGCTGACCATATATAATGATTTAATAATATAATTAATAATATTGTAAATAAGTTAATTACACAACTAACATGTTCATTTGATAACGGATCATTTTAAAACATAACGTCCTCAGACAGTCAGACACGATGACGTCAGCCCCGTCTGTGTGGGGGCGGGGGGCGCGAGAGGAGGGAGTAAGAAAAAAACAAAAACTCAGCCATCATCAACGCGCGGGCGGTGCGGGGTCACGAACTATGACCTTTAACAGAAGAAAAACCAAAACAAATATTTTATAAAATAGCATAGAGCACGAAATCGGTGTCCGTCGTCCCCCGGAGGTAAGTCTCGGCCCCGGGTCGAAAACCGCTCAAAGCTCTGTTGAGATACCGGATGATAAAAGAGCGAAGCTAATTCCTCCTGTTAGCTTGTTAGCTAGCCGATGCGGAGCTCCGCTTCCTGCCCGGATCCGGCAGCTCGGGTCCCGGGCAAGGAGCGCGACACGCCGGGGCGGTGCCTCGACTACCCCGATGTGCTTAATAAACTGTTATACTAATTGTCCACCCGTGACACTAGTGTCCGACTCGACCCTGAAACCACCCCACGCCCGAGGGGACGACAAACCCCGGGGTGCGGGGTTGGGGCGGACGGGGGGGGGCTGCAGCCGTTGATGGCGTTTGCTTGTGTTAAAGAAGCTAGCTAGAAGCGGCTAACGTAGGGAAGCTACATCCGCTGCAGATGAACGCGGCCCTCTTACATCCTCGTTACGTGTGTTACTTTATTCACAACGCTGCGTTGTTGTTGTTTTTTTAACATTTTCATTATTTCCGTTACATTTACAACCAGGGTGTCAACTTCAGACTGGAAATAAAATTGCTTTGCAGGATATTGATCACAAGATTCGTCCCTCCGTGTCTCATCCGTGTGATTGGCGGCCTGCCAGGATTAGTCCATTTTGTCTCCGGTGTTGTGATGCGCGCTCGCCGGGAGGCGGTGACGCGCGCTCCGTTAGGCCAACCGGTGCGGGACGTGAGGCGGCGAGCTCCGCCCTTCGGTGCGGGACGTGAGGCGGCGAGCTCCGCCCTTCGGTGCGGGCAGATGGAGCCACTGCGGGCTCAGTTAATCACGGAGCTCCGTCGTGCTGTCGTGTTGTGTGCTCTTATTGTAATGATACACCAACAAACTAATAGACGATGGCCAAATGCATTGCAGACACTCACATTTTATTTATAGATTTAATTTTTTATTTTTATTTAAATGGCTGCACTTGCCATTTGGTTTGTCACAACCTTTGTTTCGCTTGGCTTTTTAGGAATATTTTATAGTTGAAATATTTTACTTTAATCGGTATGAATAAAGGGACGTCTCTGAAATTAAAAAAGGGAAGCGAAGGCGTCAGGAAAAGCAGCCGCGATGTCTCCTTCAGAGGTCAGGTAACATCTCTGCGGTCATGTAAGTCAGACAGAGGTATATTGAATATTAGAATATTTAATATTACTGAATATTAGGCCAGATGTGGAAACCTCGCGTTAATGGCGCAATGTAGATATGTCTGATTTGATTTTCTTTTCTTTTTTAAATGATGTCATCTGCAAACTTTTTTTGTGACACCCAATGATATTAACAGTGTCAAAACTATGGAGAAAATCAGACAAGTCCCATAAATCAGACAAGAATGTCACCTCTGAAACAAATACATCTTTGTCTTTCCGTCAACATCCTCTTCGCCCTCAGTGATCAGTGAGCACAGCACAATGTTCGTAAAGCCGCCGTAGCCGTCGGCCTGCTCCTCTGTGACAGTTTGCACCTTTTGTTGTTGATAATCTGCGGCATCTTTCCAAAACAGACCTCACTAATGACCTTACATCATCATGACCGCCAACCTCAATCGGCTCCCTCAGCAGAAAGTGGGCTCTGAGCACGAGGCAGAGGTGAGCGGGCAGACGGGGGCTCTCATGACACACTGTTTTCCTTGCAGTCCCAGTTGTCCCACATGAAGCGCAGAGCTCCGGGCTGCTGCTTCTCTTGCTTACACGTTGTTTGTGTTCGAGCTGGTGAGAATGTGTTCAATCATCCTCTCCATCAGACTCCACGATGAGCGAGTCGCCACGGCGCTTTCAGGTCATCTCCGCCGAGCCCGCCGCAACACCCCAGCGCATACAGGTAACCGCTGCCCCCCCCCCTCACGTCAGTGGTCTTCAGAGAATGTGACACTGACGAGCACAGTTGAGGTTACAGCGTGTGACGTGTCCCTCGTCACTTCCACCTCTGTCCCCGCTCTTCCGTCTCTTACCGACCTCAGATTGTAACTGACCAGCAGACGGGTCAGGAGATCCAGGTAGTGACGGCCATGAAGCCGTCCAGCGCTCCCAAGCAGCAGTTCATTCTGACCAGGGCTGACAGCTCGGGGGCAGGCAAGGTCATCCTGGCCTCACCGGACAGCCACCACACCAAGCAGCTCCTCTTCACCGCGACAGACAGCCTGATGCCAGGAAGGATACAGGTACAGACCCGCCCCCCCCACCCCCCCACCACCCCGCTTCATATGGATGGTACCTTTGACAATATCTTATAACCCTTCAAACATTGTTGTGGGAAAGATTTTGCTTTGAGGTGAAACAGCGGATTCACACGCGGTACTTTGCTTCGCTCTCCAAGATCGTCACAGATCCGGTGTCGATGGAGCGGCTGTTGGGGCAGTCGGCGGACCTGAACCGGCCTCAGCCGGTGGAGTACTGCGTGGTGTGCGGGGACAAGGCCTCAGGTAACACTAACCTGTTGATGTGACGCATCTGTGTGGGTTTAACTCCTGGCTCATGCATCCGAACGCCCGATTCAGCCGCACGGCGACTCGCGCCGCCTGACCGCTTCTCCTGTTCTGCGCTCAGGCCGTCACTACGGAGCGGTCAGCTGCGAGGGATGTAAAGGCTTCTTCAAGCGGAGCGTGAGGAAGCACCTGACGTACAGCTGCCGCAGTAAACAAGACTGCATCATCAACAAACACCACCGCAACCGCTGCCAGTTCTGTCGGTTGAAGAAATGCCTTAACATGGGGATGAAGACCGACTGTGAGTTTGCTTGCGAGTCCGATATGTAGACTCAAACAGCCACAAACAAATCAGGTGTTGTGGAGGTATCTGCAGCTTCTGAAAAAAAAACAAAAAACAAAAACATTCAGTTCCTCGTCCAGAACGAGGCCTGAAAAGTGCCGTTTTCCCCCGCTGGCCGTTGGCCCGTAACCGTGGAAACGGTTCCCCTTTGCCTTTGCTCTCAGCTGTCCAGAGTGAGAGAAAGCCCATCGACGTGGCGCCCAGAGAGAGGCACACCAACTGCGCCGCCTCCACCCAAAAGATCTACATCCGCAAGGACCTGAACAGCCCGCTCATCGCCACGCCGACCTTCGTCTCGGACACGGAGACGGACGGCTCCAGGTGAGTGGGGCTCGGAACCGCGGGCTCAGTGGTTGGCGTGCGAGGCGGTTTTTCAATGGAGCTCTGTGTTGTCGTGTGCAGGTCCAGCCTGCTGGACCAGGGAATGCTGGTTAACATCCAGCAGCCGGTCATCCAGAGCGATGGGACGTTGCTGCTGGCCACCGACTCGAAGGTACAGCTGTTACGATTAATACAACATCAACACAGTGCACGTTCTAATCTCGGTGTGCCAGAACATGATGTTTACACTCTGTGTAAGCACGGGGCCTCCACTTGGCCCACAATGGAAAGAATGTACGAGGCCCAGTACGGGACACGACTTCATCTCTCCAATGATGCTAAAATAAGCTCCCTATGTCTTGAAATGTCTGTCAAGCCGTCGCAGGCCACACGCTTTGATCATCAGCCCATTCTGTGAACACGGCGTTTCTCGATTTATTTGATGGGAATTACGCCGCGTGTGTCTGCAGATGGACCATAACCAGGGGGACTTGGGGACACTCGCCAACGTGGTGACGTCACTGGCCAACCTGAGCGACTCGCTAAGAGAGAATCTAATCAACGGGGACACCTCGGACAGCCAGCACGAGGAGCAGTCTGCCAGCGAGATAACACGGTCAGCGAGCACGCTCATTGCACCTGGTGTCAGTCACTAGTAAACAATTTGATTGTTTCAAATTGAGAAAAACATTATTAAAGGCCCATTTGTATTTGTATTGCCGAGGGTTTCTGTCTAAATGTCTGTGTGTCTGTGTGTGTGTGTGTGTGTGTGTGTGTGTGTGTCACAGTGCCTTCGACACTCTGGCCAAAGTCTTCAACCCGCCGGAAGTGGGTGTCGGACAGAGTCCAGCAGAGAAGCCGCAGTGTGTCAGCGGAACAACCATCCAGCTGATTGGTCGAGACCAGGAGACCCCCATCATTGAGGTGGAGGGGCCGCTGCTCACAGACAGCCATGTCGGCTTTAGGGTGGGTGCAGTCGTGGTTTACAGGAGAGGGGAGGTGTTCACCTTGAGGAGGATTCATTAAGTCATCTACATTATTTTTGTTTTGGTAGAGGTCCCGTCTGTCTCCCACATTGTGTACAAGCAGAAGCTGTATTCTGACCAAATACACTTGTTAGTGTTTCTTCTCCTTCTGCAGTTATATGTAGGTAGTTTCATGTCAACAATATGTTTGTCTCATATGTCCTCTCGGTCCAGCTGACCATGCCCAGCCCCATGCCCGAGTATCTGAATGTACACTACATCTGTGAGTCGGCCTCCAGGCTCCTCTTCCTCTCCATGCACTGGGCACGCTCCATCCCGGCCTTCTCCGCTCTCGGGTAAGACCGCCTTTGACCCAGGGGGACACAACCGGTCATCGCGCTGCTGTCCGCCGCCGCGCTCACACTTCTCTACTTTTACTTGTCCCGCCCCGCGTCGCTGTCAGTCAGGAGGCGGACACCAGTTTGGTGCGAGCCTGCTGGAATGAGCTGTTCACTCTGGGCCTCGCTCAGTGCGCTCACGAGATGAACCTGTCCACCATCCTCGCTGCCATCATCAACCACCTCCAGAGCAGCATCCAGGAAGGTACGGCCCACGGGCGTCATCTCTCAGTAGGACACACACGCACAATCGAAACCGCCTGCTGTCGTTTCTTTAACGTGCTCAGACACGAGCGATTGAATTTAGATCTAGAAGGCATTGTGACCAATTTAATAAAAGTGATGGCGGCAACATCCACTATAATAACGAGACTGATACAATTTTGGTGGTCAAAGGTCACCGTGACCTGACGTCCTTTTTTGTGACTATAATATCGCAGCAGCAAAATCCATGATTAGATTTTGGTTTCTGTATCTCGACACTTCCTGAGGTATTTCTGAAAACCCTCAGTTGCCATCAGTAAACGTACGTTCTCTCTACTGGCCACCAGGGGGCGACTCCTCTGGTCCTATTGAAGTCTATGAGCAAATGACTCTACTTCTCTCTTCATTTATTCCCTCAGAAACATCGGTTCATGGTCTCAATCTCGACCTTCAATACAGCATGATGTTCAATTAGTAAATTATGATCCATTCAGCGGCAAATAGTAAATTATGATTTGTTTTACCTCGAACATTGTCCCTCAGACAAGGTTTCGAGGGACAGGGTGAAGCAGGTGATGGAGCACATATGGAAGTTCCAGGAGTTCTGCAACAGCATGACGAGGCTGGAAACTGACCGCTACGAGTACGCCTACCTGAAAGCAATAGTGCTGTTCAGCCCGGGTGAGTCTGCTCGCATCGCGTTAACAATACGAGTTCTTAATTACACTTCAAATGAAAGAAGCAGTTACAAGGTAGAGGAAATAGATTACAGTGAATAACGTGTGTGACAGATCATCCAGGTGTGGACAGCAGCGGGCAGATTGAGAAGTTCCAGGAGAAAGCCTTGATGGAGCTGCAGGACTACGTGCAGAAAAGCTACCCAGACGACACCTACAGGTACATCACACCTCCAGTCCAACCCTTCCGTTGGTATCAAGAGTCATACCAAGATAAAGACAAAACGCAGAGACGGCTCCCCTTGTGTCCCCAGGTTGACCCGCATCCTGACTCGTCTCCCCGCCCTGCGCCTCATGAACTCGGCCATCACGGAGGAGCTCTTCTTCACCGGCTTGATTGGTAACGTCTCCATCGACAGCATCATTCCTTACATCCTCAAGATGGAGACGGCCGAGTACAACAGCCAGGACTGCGACCCCGCCGAGTGACGTCACTCCGGCTTCAGGTGCTCTTTCTCCGTCTCCTCGTCTCTCGTGGAGGGGGGTTTCACTGGCGAACAGCGGAGCGGAATCCCGCAGCGGCCCCTTGGTTTCTTTTAACGATGCACGGTGCAAAGCCATTCAGGAATCCTCTGCAGATTAAGATTATCTGGGACTGAGACGCCGGCAGGACAGTTGGAATGTTCTCTGGAGCTGAGGCGCTGCGGTCCTCTTGGATTTGTGTCCGCGGACTGAGTGGAGAAGACTGGAGAGAAGGAGAGAAGAGTGGAGAAGACAACAATGTCTTGAGGGCACTTCAAACTAATTACGTATCAAACGAAATAAGCCTTTTTAATTGTTGCGGCCTTTTCTAGGCCTTCCCAGGCGATCGTGTTGATCACACGACTAATTAGAAAACTTTTTTAAAATCCAAATATTAAGTGAATCTGAGTACTTCATTTTAAAGTGTACTTCTAAGCTGTCGGCTATTTGTATTTGGTAATATTGGCGCGTTGAAAACAGTTTTTGTTTTAGTGGCTGTGGCGTTAAATTGAGGATCCGGGCTTTCACAGAAGCCCAGAAGAAGTTCTGAATATCAATGAACACGGCATCAAAACACGCTTCCAACATTCTTTTCTCTTTTATTCCACCTTGAGACATCGATGTACAGCTTTTACTTTAAATACGTTTGATCAATAGTTGGAATGAGAACTCCAATCAGGTATGAAAACAATGTCAAACCTCAATGACTTCATCATTAATCTGTATTCATCATTACTGGCATTCATAGCATTCTTCTTCCACACGGTGCATTACAACATCCGAGTTCTCACTCTTAACTCGCTTTCACAAAATCTCCTCAGCCAAATTCATTAATACAGAATCACCCACGAGATTTTAGCTGTGGCTGGTGTTTTCATGTTCAGGTACATTATCGTGGATATGTTGCCATAGTAACCTGTGCAATCGCCTCATCACTTTCCCCTTTACGACAATCACTTCTATGTTATTACGTCTGTCCCAGCAGTTTCTGCATTTTATGTGTATTCATCATTTATTCCTTTGAAGGAAGGAGATTGTCTTACAGCTTTTGGGTTCAGAATTATTGTGTATGTGTTTTTGTATTTGTGTCTGTACTCCGCTAACTGCACATCAATCAGCTTCTGTCTTAACACGGACTAAAACTTTGTGTTTTGTATGTTTTTTTTCTAAAATATTTAAATGTGTTGTGAACATATTTGCGTGTTGCATACTAAGTGTACTTAAAGTACTTTTGGGAAGGTTTTTAACCGGTTTTAGAACATACTAACCAGATTTTCTGAGAAGATTAGATCGCCTCTCGTTTAACGATTCAGAATGCGCATCCGCAGCGACGTGAATGATAACGGGAATGTAAAGAGGTCAACAATTAAAAAATATATATATATATATGTCACTTGTAATATTCTGGGGTTTAAAACCCACGCTGACTGTTGTGAAATGACCCTTGTACATGTAGTTTCATTAAAATGAGTGCATGATGTTTTTAGGCCGGGTTTTATAATCTGTCTGCCCTAATAAGGAGCATTGTTATCAATTTTATAGTGCATTGCAGTGCATGAAGAAGTTGCTTAAGTGCATTTTATTAAATGCTGAATGAAAAATGTTAATTTAAATGTTGTGACTTTAAAATATTAACCATGAGGAGATTGGATCATAAAACCTGGGCTTTGTGGACGGCGTGTAAACGATGGTTTAATTTTTATACTGTGTAAATGTACTCTGGTTTTCTGCTCATGTGCGATGTTTTTCTTCAAACGTGGAGAAACAACGTTCATGTTTTGCTCAAGTTTGTCACGACCCCACATTTCTACCTCACACCGATAAAGATATAAAACAGATGTAATAACGACTGAGCTCCTGTATCGGCATTCCAGTCTCCGAGGCCGCACGCTATTAACGAAATAAACAATTAAGTATGAAATATGAGTCTCTTCATGCTCGCAACTTCTCAGCGACCTGTATATTCTAGCTAAAGTGGAAATATTCTGCTTTACCACACCTCAATAAAACATGGAGCTCTGGTCATTTAGAAACCCCTCATTCGGACACAGTATTTATAGCAAGGATGTCAACCATTTATTTTACTGCTCTCTGAACTACTAAATTTATGTCTATGTACTGAAGTTTACGGTTTTATTATTGTACCCTGCTGTTTTTAAATTTCCGGTTTGAGCAAAATATGCGTAGAAGTGCATATATATTTTTTAATTATACAATTCCATTTTAAAGTAAATGAAAAAAACAAACCTTTTTGCAACTTCCTGGTTGCTCAGCCGACGTCATCAAAAGGCGCCTCTCCCTGTGCCCGACGCTCTTTGAAATGCTAGTTTGTGAATACAAACTAAAAGGGACTTTAAAATGCCTATGAAGGGACGCTTTCCGATCAGGAGGACTCTCGAATACCTCCAGAAGGGCGACATCGTCTTAAAAAACCGAGTGAAGATCATGACTGTCAACTACAACACGAGCGGAGAGCTCAGCGACGGCGCAAGGTCAGAGCTAACGGCAGCTAAAGCTAGCGGAGACGCGCTCACGGCTACAACACCTCACACATGTCCTCAAACTAACGCCGAGCACCGCCACTGCGTTCACCCCCATCACTCCAAGTCATTAAAATGGGAGCAGTGTGTGGCTTTACAGTGTTTCAAATAGACAAACCTGCTTAATTAGGGGACATTGACTGGTTATTCTTTCGACTAGCTTGATTAAACGCTTTGTTATAACGTGATTAAAGAGGTTCACGGTTCAGTCCATCAGAAAAAAAATTCAGATCTTCAAAAAGATTCACGCTCTGTGTTGAAGTTCGCTTCCCTAAAATGTACTTAAATATATCTAAGGATTATTCAGGCCATTCGTAAATGTTTTCTTTTTTTTGCAGGAAGTTTGTGTTCTTCAATATCCCTCAGATTCAGTACAAAAACCAGTGGCTCCAAATAATGATGTTCAAGAATATGACGCCATCCCCGTTCCTGAAGTTCTACCTGGGTGTGTATTCTCGCTCTGTCGCTAGAACACACGGAACAATATACATTTAAACCTCAAATATATATTTCCTGCCATATCATAAGTCATTATGTATTTGATCAAACTGTGGCTGATGTGCTCTCCTCTGCAGACGACGGGGAGCAAGTTCTGGTTGATATGGAAGGGAAGGACTACAAACAAATTTCCCAACATGTCAAAAAGATTCTGGGCAAATCAGAGTAAGATATATAAAAAATATATATTTATATATATTTATTCAGAGTGGGTAAGATTTATGTGTGCCTCCTGGTTTAGATGCCCTTCACTGTTTATGTTGATGCTAATTAATGCATTTGATGCAGAGAATCGGTTTTTCTTTTTCAAAATATACATTTATGTAATCAGGATGGTCACAATCTGTTCCTTCTGATTCCCCAGCTGAATGTGCTGATTTCTCTCCGCTCCCTGTTGACAGAGAGGTGTTACAAGCCGAGGCGCAGGCCAAGATGCAGGCCTCCAACCCCGCCAACTTCGGGCCCCGGAAGTACTGCCTGCGAGAGTGCATCTGCGAGGTGGAGGGCCAGGTGCCGTGTCCCGGCGCCACGCCGCTGCCCAAGGAGATGACGGGAAAACATCGGGCCCGGATGGCGGCGGCAGCGGCGCAGGAGTGAGACGCCGCAGCGTCACGTTTTGATTTGCTGCGACGGCGCTGCGGATTCAGCTGTAAATACGAGTGACTGAATGGACCGTGCGAGGAGGTCCAGCGTCTCCGGCCCGGGATGCGGCAGGAAACCGCAGCCATCTCGTACGGGCACTTTGGTCGCGGTCTGGATTTTTTTTTTTTTTTTTTTTTTAGCTTCAAGAATCCACATCCGGCTAAACGTGTCAACACTGCGATGTAAACATTGAAATCAAACTGATTTCGTTAGGCAAAATCTGAACATTAAGTATGACCACAATATCAAAGTAGAGGATGGCTGAGATTCAAATAATGAAGAGAAAGAAGCCTTTTTACTTTAACAATTTTCTTTCTTTCTTTTTATTGGTGCTGTGATGGAAGTTCGTGCTTAAAAAAAAAAAAGTTTCGGCAAATGAGCTAAAAAAATAAAAATCACTTGCTTACACACAAAGAAGCTCCGGTTATTCGCGCTCACAAAACATTTAGTGTCACATGTTCTGCTTCTGTGTGGACATCAGATATTAGTGTGAGATCAACAGAATACACACACAGTGTGAAGCACTATGACAACTCAGAGCAGAACTGAGCGATAATACTTGTTGGCATCGATGTAGTGATAATTTATCTGACAAACCTGTTCACGATGTTTCCGTTAACCCGAAGATTTAAGTTGATTACGTCTGTAACACTGATTCTAGCATTCTAGCGTCTTATTCGATGGCTCGAGGAAGCGATGTGCCTCAGCAGATGCCGTTTGAAGCGATCGTGAACAAAAACTACTGCTGGCATCCAAGGCTTTGTATTCTTAAACCTGCGATTTTATTAGTCCAGATTTGTGAATGAAAAATAAAAGCTGGAAGTCAAACGCGGCCTCTGGTTCAATTTTAAAAAGGCCGGCATCGAAGAACGAGAGAAGTCCCTCGGGACGGGGGGGGGGGTTCAACCTGGTTCAGTGCTTTTAAAAGATAACGGGACCCCGGCGAGGAGACACTGACCAAACACACGAAAAGAAAACGGAACTGAAAGCGCGACCGTTCAGACAGGAAATTCAGTTTATGAGAATACGTCACAGGACGGGAGCATCAACGGCGGCTTTTATTTCCCTTATAATTTGTGACGCGATTAAAAGACGCGGAAGGACAGCGAGTCATGTGACCGAGCTCATAATTTAAGCACTACATGACATTTCGGTCGACAACAACTGAATGATCAGGCGGATTTAATTAGTGAATTCAAAGTGTTTTTTTGTTGTTATTCCTTCAATTACCTCAAATAAACTAAAGTTGTCAGTACGATAAGGAATCTGCAGGGAGGATCCACAAGGAGCTGCATGAACTCAGGTTATTTTTACACTCTGAACATCATTTGGCAAAAACCACCCTGGTGTTATTTAACTATAGATTTTCAAATGTGCATTAAATGCTTCTTGGTTCCCTCTTGTCCCCCCCCCCCGGCTCACGTAGACAGAAACATGCAAACTGTACAAATGGACTTTTCCTCGCGGTGCTTGAACACATGTGCATGCTGAAATACGACTCCAGCGCTCCGTACAGGGGGGAGTGGTTTAGAAAGAAGAATCTCAGAACTCGCCAAACCTCTCTGTGGGGCAGCAAGACCTCGCCCGACCTAAAACCACAGGGCTCATGAGTCTTGTAAAGTGGGCTAGCCTTGCAGGACTTGGTAAGTAGCAGGTATTCGGGGGGCTCAGTGCTTCTTTTTCTTCTGCTCTTGTAGGGTGCGCTGCAGCTCTCTGAGGTTCACCGACAGCAGCTCCACCTCGTCCAGGCGCCCGCTGAGCTTGGCGTCGAAGATGTAGGCCCGGATGTTGTCGATCTGCTGCAGCAGGAGCTCCTCCTCGATCACGTCCACGTCGGGCAGGTCCCCCGCCACCTCGTCCCCGTCGAAGGGGTTCGTGGAGACTACCGGAGAGTTCCCCTCCAGGAAAGGGTTCCCGGCCTCGGCGTCGCTGTCTTCGAAGGGGTTCCCGGCCTCGCCGCGCTTGACCTCGTCGTCCTCGTTGAACGGGTTGTACTCCCTCCCGCCGCCGACCTCCCGGTGCTCCCGCTTCATGTCCTCAAAGAAGGGATTGGACGGATCCTCCTCGACGGGAGTGGCCTCCTCGTCATCGAAGGGGTTGAGGGAGGCGCTGTTCTGCCCTTCGCCACCAGGGGGGGTCACGTGGCCCCCTAAGCTCCTCAGCCTGGGTGGCGACTCCTCCTGCCCGGCGAGCGCGGGGGACTCTGCCCTCGCGGGGGACGGACTCCCCTCGGCCGTCGGCGTCAGCTCCCCCGCTTCCTCCTCCCCGTCGTCTTGGCGGCCGCCGTCCGGAGGCCCCTCCCACGCCACGGGGGGCCGCGCGCCGCCCGCGGCGGGGCCCCGTTGCCCCCGCTCCTCCCTTTCCCACGCCTCCAGGCGCTCGAGCTCGCCCTGCTGCAGGCTCTCCTCGGCGGCGAGCTTCTGGGAGAGCGCGATGGCCCGGCTGGTCTGCTGCTGGTCGTACTCGTCCTGCAGCTGCCGCAGGTTCTCCTCCAGCATGGCCACCTCGTCCGCCCGCCGCGCGTCCCGCGCCTGCCGCAGGAACGACTGGATGTTCTCGATCTGCTGCAGGAGGGGGTCCTCGTGCTCGGCGCGCGCGTGGACGCCGTCCGCGGAGGGCAGCCATCCGCCCACTTTGGTCACTCTCGGGGCCCGCGGCAGCTCTCCGTTGGTGCTGGGCGGCGCCGGCGGGCGGTTCTTCTCCGACTCCTGCCTCCTTTTCAGGGTCTCCTGGGTCGCCTGGTGAAAAGAAATGAGGTAGAACATTCAGGAGCTAGTTCTGGATGTGGAAGAAGCAGAAGGTCCTGCACACAATCTCACCAGTCTCTCCTGCTGGAGTCTCTTCTCCTGTTCCTGTTTCCGCTTTTCTTTCAGTTCCTCATATTTATGCTTGGTGGGTAAAGACATGAGACCCAAAAGTTTCTCCTGGAACAGAGCAGGACACGGAGAAGGCGTGAATTCAGGGCGCAGAGCGGACCGGGTTGGCGAGGCGTCTGGATCGGCGCCTCACCTGGACGAACAGCGTGGCCGTGTAGCGGATCATCCTCTGCAGCTGGAGGGCCTTCGGCCGCGGGGGCGGTTCGTCTTTGGCTCCCAGTGTTAGAATCTTCTTACTGAGGAGAGAATCACACAACTCCCGTTTGATCCTTTTCAAAAAAAAAGGCTCCTGGTTGATGAACACAAGAGAAGAGCCTCCCCGTCGCCCGGAGGCGTTAGTCTACCTCAGGGCGTCGATTAGTTCGTAGTATTTCTGCACCTCCAGTCTCAGTCCGCCGGCGGTGTCGAGGTTGTAGGTGGTTTCTCCGGCGCTGTGGGACCGCGCACGCGACGATGAGCATCTCTCACACCACAAACGCTTCTTAAATAACACTTGTTTGTTTGTTTTGTTCCCCTTACTTCAGCGACTCAGCCATTCGAATGTACTCCGGAGCCTTCTCGTCCACCTTCTCCATGCACATCCTCAGCCGCTGGCAGGAAGACAAGTTCAGAGCAAAGTGAGAAACAGGAAACCCCAGAAGAACAAACCCTGAACGACGGGACGGACGCGGCAAGACGGCTTGAAAAGAAAACGGAATCGACTGCCGCGACCATCGGGAGCAGAGGAGAGGTCGGACGTCTCTACCCCCCCCCCCCCGACGCGCTTCCGTGTGCCAACCTCGTAGAGCTTCACCACGTCCGGCATGTGGTCCTTCTCCTCCAGCTTCTGCTGCCTCTTCAGCAGCGTGTCCATGCAGTGGCGGCAGCAGCGGATCTTCTCGTCGTCCTTCTCCTCCAGCATGGACGTCACGCTGCTCAGGCTGCTGATGCTGCCTCTCCTGGAGCCCATCCCGCCCCCGCCCACGCACACGACCCCGGCCGGGGGGGACTGGGACTGGACGGGGCTCCCGGGGACACACAGCGCCTCTCGGGTCCCGTTGATCAGCTTGTCTGGGAGCAGGAGAAGAGGCCGGTGGGTGTTTTTGGTTTTGCACGGCAGCTCGACCATCAGACCACGCGGCCGGTTCATACGTACGAGCCAGAGGAATGGGGACGAACTCCATGCACCTCCTGCACATGATGGAGCCACACAGGCGACAGTGGTGCCGCCGGTTCCGGATGTTGAACTTGTTCCCGCAGTCGGGACAGAACGGGACGTCCGAGTCGCTCACCCAGGACACCACCGACTTCTCAATGGCTGTAAGAGGGAGGAAGAGGACACATTCGTATAAAAGATCATTGACACACGCTGAGAGGAGTCAAGAGTTGTAACGAAAACACAAACCTCGGATTTTGGCGACATCGGAGTTGATCCTGTCGAACGACGTCAGCTGAAAAGACAAAATTCTCGGCAAAGTTACTCACAGGCGGAAATCTGCGGTGCGAGCGGGGTTTTCATTTGTTTCTGCCGGGAGCGAACCTTTTCCAGTCTGATGATGAGCTTGTTGACCTCAATGACGTAGTGATCTATCCGAGCGGCCCGGTGCTTTTTAAACAAGTCCAGGTGACTTCTGGTCGCTCCTACGAAACGCAAAAGGGGAAGGAAAGCGGCGCGGCGGTCAGCGCGTGGCGTGCTGCTCAAACGGGTCATCGCTGATTCGCAGCAACACTCTGCGTCCGAATGGTGCGACAAACGGTGAATACAAAGCGCGGAGATTCGTTTCACCCAGTTCCTGAGGCTCCCACATGTAGGGGTCCACTCCGCCGTAGTAGAAGGACTCGTAGCTGCCGGTGTCCGGTCGCTCGTCTCCATCCCGCTTCAGCAGCTTGTCTTTGGCTTTCATCGCCTTCTGAACCAAACCTGCGCACACACACACAGAATAAGGACACAACCACGAGTCTTCCTCTCGCCAGTTCTAGGCCTCACAGCGCTGTGGGCGGAGCTCGGCCAACGCCACTCACTCTTGAGCTGCCCCCGCACGTGGCCGTCGTCCCCGGAGTGCTCCTCCTCATAGTGGTCCTGGAGCTGGTAGAAGGACTGCAGGTCCTTCAGGCACAGCGGGCACAGGAAGCCCTCCTTCACTTCCCCCGTGCCCTCAAAGGGGGTGGGGTAACTGGAGGCCATGGCGGCGTGCTGCGTTCAGGGACAGGAGATGCAAAGTGGGAGATTCCTGCCTCGGGCCACATGTCACGGGGTGTGCGACCCCCCCAATGACGTCTCCATCAACACTCCAGGGACACCTGGAGATCAAAGCAGATTGAGGGTATAAATAAGCATCACGAAATGTTTGGTCGTTAATGCAAACCCAATAAAAAAGTATGAAGGAAAACGTGTCACGTGACAGACACGCTAGATTAAACAGGATTGGGAGGAAAATTTATTATTATTATTATTATTATTATTATGTCTCACTTAGCTATACATTGCATTCAATTATACTAACACGTCACAGCCAACAGTCCCACAAATCAATTACACATTTTATATCGATCGAAGAACCTTTAAAAAGACTTCTAGCAGGTACCGATGATGTTAGCTAGCAGAGATTTAAACCCACTGAGACAGGGAGACAAAACCCGGCTGTTTACCGTTTGTACCTTCAACGAGCAATTCATTGCTGTCATAATGTGATATTTGTGATCCAACCATCCGAAGGTGAACGTTAAATATTAAAGTAACGTCGGCTAAATGGGACGCTAGCTGCAGGATGCTAACAGCCGCTCGCGCGTTTCTTCTGGCCAGTTCCTCCGACCTCGTTGTTAAAAACACGAAGGAAAATAGCCTAAAACTTTCCAAAAAAAACATTTCCACGTGAAGGTCGACACGGTGGCGGTGTACTTACAGATGGATCCAACAATAACAGTGTGGTTGACAGTTAGTTCTCTGGCAGCAGCAGCAGCAGCCCTGCCCGGTCACGTGATTAGCATTCGGTCGGTAAGGGACGAGAGGAGGGACAAACGACACGAAACGCACAAACCAACTGGACAGGCAACCTCTTTGTTGTCTTTGTTTCTCTTTTTTTTTTAAACAATATGATTTTATCGGTGTGGAGATTCTAATTACTATTAATGGGTGTTTTATTTGTATTGCTTTTCTAGAGTGGAGCAGAATTTAATTTCTGCATATGAATCTTTTTTGGATTATTAAAGCTTCCTTCCATGCTTTTGTTGGCTGAAACGAAAGAAAGGTCAAAATAGAAAAAGGACAATAACCAGGATTCAGGTATTTGTTCATTGTTTTGCATTCTTATACGGATGCACAATGGAATTCAGTTTTAGCGTATTTGCTATAAAACAAACACATGCCTATCAAAACAAAACAGTAATTTCTCCCGTAGTGTAGTATTTTTTTTATTTGCACCAGAATGAATGTTAACAGCAGCAACAAAGTATGTTTTTTGGCCAGTTTTTGTGGTCGACATCCTCACATCAAAAATCCAGCACGAGGAAAACGCGTGAGCCCCGAGCATCACTGATGTAAACACCAGAGTCCACGGCCTCTCATCCCACCTGCAGTGCTGAATTGCGTGACCCTGGATGAAAGAGCCCCGGCCTACTCCTGTCCAATGTCCCTGGGTTCTGTCTCTCTGCGTTAACTGTCCCGCTCCTTCCCAAATGCTCTCACCATCATTTCGGATGTCTCGCTAACAGATTTCTGCTTCTGCTTCAGCGTCTGAGGGCTCCTCCTCTGTTCCACTCCTCCATTTAAATCGACGTGGCCTCAATTTAAACTTATTTTATGATAATGTGCCCCCCCCATCTCACAATTGACATGACAACATATTCCTGACCTTCACCCAGTGCTCTATGAGTCTTCTTTAACAAGTTCCTTCCACTTCTTCCCTTTCTTGCCCTTTGCAGGCAAAGCGCTGTGTCACAAGAATGCAAATAATGTTTCATGAGTGTCTCCGTCTATTGATTGTCTCCCCGCTAAGCCCAAGATGGTGAGCTGCAGCGCCGGATGTCAACTAAATCCTCACAGGCCGCCAGATCTTCATGAAATATGTTCTCACTTATTTCTAAGGTCAGAAAGATGAATCTGAAAATGATTGAATGGAGCTGTGAGGAGGGAGAGAAAAAACGTTTTTCTTTTAACGTGTAAAATCGTTTTCTGTGACATTCTCTATTGTATTGAAAACCTCTGCATTGAATCATGAAACTCATTCAAATCAAAAAAGCTAAAGGTGAGGACAGCCTGAGAAGACTGTTCTGTGTAATCAACAGAGAACATATTGAGATGACCTCATCAGATGGTCTGCTGCTTCAAGCTGAATGCAGGAGAGTGTTTACCTTGTCGTTTAAATATATTAAAATATATTGATAGACTTCTTTTTGTTACAGAATCCCAACCTTTGAGAAACTATATTAAATATCATGAATATGCATCTGGTTATTGGGATATTTGAATCTATCTTATACTATGGGGCAGCTGGGACACAAACCCAAAATGTTGGACACCACAAAACAACAATTAACCCCCGGAGAGAGTGTGTGTGTGTGTGTGTGTGTGTGTGTGTGTGTGCGTGCGCGCGTGTGTCACTGTCACATTTACAATGGGTTTGTGCGCTTGTTAAAACAACAAACAGACATTAAAATTAAAATATGCCTACATGCCCGATTTCTCTCCTTGAGGCAATTCAAGTTGTCTCCAATCATTTTGTGTAAGAGACAAATTCCTCATCCGGTGCAGACAATGTGTTTTTTCAAATGCACTGCAGCATATTCCTGCTGGAGCTGAAAGCTGTGTGTGTGTGTGTGTGTGTGTGTGTGTGTGTGTGTGTGTGTGTGTGTCAGTGGAGCTTCTCCACCACGAAGTCTCAATCCGAATGAATACTCTGCATATTGATCAGGCCCGTTTGCAGCCTCTCTGTTGGAATGAGCCCAATTAAAGTGAGGAGAGGAGGTACCCGACCCACTGTGTCGGATATCGGATCCGTTAATCATCCATCCATCATTGTTGGACTACACGCCAATTAGACCTGTTGGGTTGAATAAACAGTTTAATAGGCTTTAATATTGCACAAAGTACTGCAACGGATGCAAACCATACACTTTAACCAATGCGTTTTTTTATTGTCCAACATTGGTGGTTGACTTTAAGGCAAAGGCTTTAACATGAGTTTAAACATGCAATAATATGTAGAAAAATAACCAGATATATTTTATTTTGCGGTGGTATTCGTTATAGTTTACATAAGTAGAAAATAACGAGACACAAATGAAACGAAAGCCGTTACAGCGTTGGGTACCTTTCATTTCGATCATGACGCCCGCTGGACCGAAGGACGCGCGCGCCGCCTCACAGAGGCAGCATCACAAAGAGCCAGTGGACCGATGCGTTCATTCCGGGACTCGATTTCAGCACGAGTAGTCTATGATCAACCGAATAATAGCGAATCAATTCAAATTAAATCGAGATGAACTCCATATTTACAGCGATATACTCAGTCCGCAGGACAATTACGCACAAGCTCTCCAAACTCAACAAACAGCGGATACACGTTTTTTTTTTGTTTTCTGCAACGATGACACAGTAACTGTCGGTGCAACAACAGATTCGATGGTGTAAACTCTTTTTTGTTTTTAATAACGACTTGATCACTTCATTTACACATTTATTGGTTTACAATACAGCGGCGGACTTCTGTTTCGGCTACTCTGCCTCCACTAAGTCCTCCTCGGGCGCAAACCTTTTCCCCGGGTGTTGCCGCTTCTGCTCGGCATGATGGCTCTCGTTGATGTTGTCTAAAAAGTTGAGCAGCAGACTGGTTTTGCGGCAGCTCGTAGGGTCCAATACGTCGCACGGACTGTTTGTGCCTAAATCCGGACTGGAGGTATCCCAAAACCGTTTCCCGGGGTGCTGGCGCTTTTCCATCTCCACGAGGTCCTCTTCTCCTCCTTCTCCGTCCGCGTCCCAGTCCACGTCGTCGTCCCCGTCGCGCTTACCTGGGTGCTGGCGCTTGGTCTGCACCACCAGGTACCGCTTGCCCGGGTGCTGTCGTTTTGAAAGTTCCTCAGGAGCACCGCGGGGTTTTCAGAAACGCGTCCCGCAGCGAAGCGCTTTCCCGGATTCTGCCGCTTCTGGAGCTCCGTGAACGGGCGCATTTCATCTTCGCGTTTACCCGGGTGCTGTCTCCTTTGAACGTCCAAGTATGGTTCATCCACGTCCGCTTCTCTGCGCCCCGGATGCTGCCGCTTCTCCAAGTCCTCGCCGTACCTCTTACCGGGATGCTGTCGTTTGGTCATCCATTCTGCCTGAGGGGGAAATCCCTCTGGAGAAAGGAAAACTTTATTTAGGTTACTTTAAGAAGCCCCATGTATCCTATATGTATCCCCATGTCTACTAGTTTTCATACGGGTCGTGCGTAAATTACGCACGAACGAGTTCAGCTGGTAGTCCATCTCCCGTCCATTATTTTCCATTTTGGTGTTTTAAAACAAATGTTATGTAAAATAATTTGTACTTTTATTTTATACTTATACAAAAAATAAGTAAAATAGCCTGATTTTCAAAGTAAAACTAATCCCAACTACATCAAACCTCCCGTCGCCTGCACGAGGAATCCAACACACGCATTTTACGCACCGTCTCCGCCGTCTTCGTCCTGTATCTTCTTGAGGATGGACCGTAGGAGGAGACTCTCCGCTCTCTGTAGAATGATGTCGTCGATGGTCCTCCCGCCAGTCTCATCCTCGGCGGGGATGCTCTGTCCTCCAGACACAGTGAAGTTGCAGACCACGAGAAGAGCCAAGGCGAGCAGGCATGTCGACCTCATGGTAATTTAGTTGGTCCTCTGATGAAGAAACTGCCGATGGTCGACGGAAAAATATCAGACAACAGACGCGCAATTAGTTTTGATGAAATTTAGTTCAACTTGAGGGCAATGTTACAGACACTGCCATCACATTTGGACACGTTAAGGCTCTTTTACAGACGTCTTTTCGTTGTTTGAAGGCTTGTTTCTGAGGTGCGCCGGACTCACCTGGAGAAGCCTCCGAAGCCTCCTCTTCCTCAGAGTCTGTGAAGGAAGTCTTCACTTCAGGCAGCTGCTGGTGACCCCTGTGCACCAAGTCTGGAGGAATGAGCAGATAAGTTCCCGTGTCGGCATTTATACTCAGCGGCCACTGTCGTCACACCGACGCTGGGACTCACTTCTCAGGACCCCTCGACCCCCCGTGATGTCACCGAGTCGTGCGCAACATGCACGTGGCGAACGGTGATCCTGCAGGAGGCGATATGATTGGACGCCCGAGTGTCCTGATCCATTCTGTATTTAGGTGCACGGTTGATGGATTATATTCCTCTAGTTTATGGCCTTCTATTTTATACTGTAGATTTCAATTGTAGATTGAAAATGTCACTTTTCGTGCACTGTGTTTTTTTGTGTCCATTGTCTCATTGTCTTATGTCCAACGTCATGCACCGACCGCCATACTTTGGCAATACACGGTCCTGATTCAGCTTTTCAGAATGTTGATATTTGATTCTTCTCTGAGCTCACACCGAATTGATGATGGATTAACCAAACAAGCTGTTTGCTATATCCACATCTTTCAGAACATATCCCAATATAATTATTAAAGATGATTAATATAAATCATCAGGTGTTTATGACGGGGCACCACCATTGGGTGCAGTTGCTCAAAAATACCTTAAGTTACTTTTCAAAAGTTATTAATCATTCATTACAATAAAAAACATAATTTGATTTCCAAATTCAGTCTGTTGAGGGAATGATTAAAAAAAAGGGGGAAGTTACTGGCAATTAATGCCTTAATGGTCTCATAACTCTGATGAATATTTGAATTAATAACTCAAACAAAATGACCATGAATAAAGATTGTGGAAAGTTCAGTTCTGCTCTCGTACTTCCTGTCGCTCATGCCCCCCCATTCCCCAATTACCCCCTCACTATTTAAACCCCACTGTCTCACTCACTCACTCGTTGCCGGATCCTTAGCCGTGACCATCCGGCCTTCACCCTCAGATGGATGTTATTTTTAATAATTTCTCCATCACATGAGGCCCTGGCTGCGGTGCGCTGAGGAGCAACAGTCGTTGCAGATGATAAATGGCCAAAAAAAAACCTGTTTTCATTGCATGTTGCGAGAATCCATGATTCAGGCTAAGCTAATGTTAGCTGGCTTGCAGACACACATTGCCATGGTTCATTCTAGGGGAACTTGTACTTTTGTTATTTATGCAACGCTTTTCTTGTGTACATGGAAGTCTTATTTTTAGGGCCAGTGGCAAACATTTAATATATCTTTTCTATTTTATTTGTTTATGTAAGCAGTTTGTGCTGTTGTGTATATATATATATATATATATATATATATATATATATATATATATATATATATATATATAGGTGATTTTGACTAAACTGTGTTAAAAATCATTATTTAAAAGCCACAATTAAAACATAAAACAATGAGTCCAAGTCATCAGGAACAAATTGATTGACAATGTTTGAAAAAATAAAATGCTCAAATGATATTTGTATTCATTTATTGTGTTTTCATTTTTATGTTTGCATGGCTTTTGTCGGACGTGGCTGTGTGGCTCTGTTGTTGCTTCGTTTTTCTTTTGGCTTCTCCTCAGACGCTCTTTGTAAACGCTGTTTTTAAAGGTGAGTGCACGCATGGAGGTGTCATGGCGACCCCCCGTGACCTCGTGTTGGCAGGCCGAAGGTTACACTCAGCCGTAGTGTGAAGGACGAAGACTAATTCCCTGTGAGCCAAACACCGTCTCTGTCTGTGGGATTCCTTTCTGGGCCTTTTTGCTTCGGTCAACAACAGGAAGTGACCATTGAGACATATCTGATCCGTGCGGGAAATCCTTCTGCTTTCGTCCGTCGCGTTCGTCTCGGCCAATTGTGTAACGACAAAGAAAAAAAGTTGCGCAATGCAGCTGAGTGAAATCTTGAGTCAGAGGGAGAATAAGATGTAAACATGCAGATGGGATGATCGCTGCAGTTTACCACCATTAAGTCTGCGTCTCTCTGTTGACCCTCTCACTCATCCCACACTGTCAACGATTGGCATCCCTGTGTGGATGCTGCACCTCGTGCGCTGAGGAAGAGGACGGGTTAAGTGTAGTGAGGAGGAAACAAAGACTCGTCAGCCTTCGCCCTCGTTTTTTTCTTTCAAAGTATTGTTGAACATTTTCAGCGTGTACAGGAGAAGTTTCTCAAACGCAGCGCTTCAAGGGGCTGCGAAGCTTCCTCGTGTTTGGTGAAAGTTTTCTTGTAACCACGGTAACCGGCGTCACGCAGCTGCTGCAGACGAGAGACTGACACGTGTCAGTCGGGTCGACTCTGCCGCGCGGTGGCTTTTAGGTATTAAAACCTGCATTTAAGCTCAACACAGTCGTGCTGCTTGTTCATTTAGCAGCAACGAGTGCTGCAGAAGTGACTCATAACACCTGGAAATGAGTCGGTATTTTTACACTTCCGGTTCCTTTGTCCAAAAGTCAATGTGTTTTTTTAACTGTGCAGAAGCTGAAACGCACATATCATCATATAAAGTCAGTCAGCAGAATCCCTCTGGTGGCCGTAGTGTGGTTGATTTATTCCCCAACGTTACAAAGAAGTGCAGTAATTAGAGCATCAGTCTAAAAAACAAAACCAAGTCGACTTAAAGCAAAAGCAAAGAAATGAAAGTACTTATTTTCAACCTGAATAAATGAGCTGAAAGATGCTCAAACGACCTCTGTAGAGCTGAGTGGTGGCGACTCGATGGGGACACGTCCCCCCCACCGCTTACTGCCCAATAATTCCCCGGCATTCATCTCAGTGCTCGGGATGAAGCGTGTGCCGCTTGCACAGGGACGGATGAGTCCTCACAAAGTTCAGCGAGATCCACCGAGAGAGGAAACCAAACACCTTCTGTGTTCGCTGTCACTCGGGGGGCAAAGGGCTCCACAGGGAGACGAGACACTCGGAGGGGCGTGCGGGAGCAGGAGACGGACGCGGCAAAGCCCGACGCCGGGAAACAAATAAATAAACAAATGGGTCGTAGGGCGCCGTCGTAACCCCGTCCCCTAAGAGGGACACGGGCCTGACAGGGGTCACCGGGGCGGGGCGCGAGTGACAGCGTACAGGGGGGCTCTGGAAGGGTGCGTGTGTGCGTGTGTGTGTGTGTGTGTGTGTGTGTGTGCGTGTGTGTGTGTGTGTGTGTGAGGCATTGTCCTGCATGGTCATTTCAGAAAGATTCGTGAGGGGTGAATATGAGACGTTTGTTCTGTGCATCATCGCTTCATTTTCATGATTCATTTACTTTCAAAAGATCTTTTTTTTTTCGTTGTAAACAAAAGGGAGCGAGGTGAGCTGCGGTGGTTTTGCGCACCCCCGTGGCCCCCCGTGAAGGCTTTGAGGTGTTGGTGCTCAGTGGGGGTGGATGAGAGACGGATGAGAGACAAACAGTTGTTATTTGTACAAATAACAACAGTGTGAAAACACCTGACTCCATCGTGGTGGGGACAATAATCCTGCACCAACAGAGTGTCCGTCTGTCTTTTAAGTTAAGCTCATCTTGTAGTAGGATGTCCACATTTTGCCTATTTAGGTTTCTCAAAAGTTTCTATCATCAGGGTCCTTTGGAATCAGAAAAGTCCTTTCTTGTGATTTTGATTGACACATTTGCCCCATGTGCACACATTTGCACACATGTGCCCCTGAAATCAACACTCAGACTCCGAAAGCTGCGTTTCTTTCATTTCCCATATCGACTAACGCGTTCTGTCCTTATTTTTCACCGCTCGGAACGTCATTTCAAGTCACAATAAACACTCACGCAGACGCAAACGCACAGAAAGAGAGAAAGAGAGCGAGTGCGCTTTGCATAATTCCGACAATTCCGTTGCTCAGAGAATCCCATTTTCTCCCAATAACCAGAGAGGCGCCCGTGTGTTTCTTCAGCCGGAGACCATGATTAGTGCACTACTGTGCTTCCACTCACTTCATCACCACGCCGGGTGGGTGTCTGAGACCCTCCCCCCCCCCCCGTTCTGCCACATTGCAACGATCTTTCATCCTGACGACTGGCCGAAATGACACATGTGAGCTTTTTAGGTATTTCGTTCCTTCAGGAGTGATGAAAGGAGAATATTACAAGGGAAAGGGGAGGGGGGGAGTTCTGCAAAGAATATTCTCCATCTCATCCATCCATTTGTCGCCCCCAAAACCCCTTTTTTCTTAAAACAGATGGAGGAAAAACTTATTTCACCCTGCCCTGCTCGGAGTGATGAATCCACTGGGTGTATTATGCAGAGTTCAGATGCGCTCCGTGAGTTTCTGCAACAGCTACTGCTGTGTTTAGCGGCTGAAGAGCCAAGGGTCAGCGCGCCTCATCAACTTCATCCCATACATACGTTAAATACTAATGTAGCGTGAGCCTCCCACGGCGGAATATGTTAAATTATATCTTTGCAGAGAAGATGTTTGTCTCTGCTTTCCTTCAGTCACTCCCTGTACGGCACATTTAAACTCCGATTTTAGGCACTTATTAATGGGGGTTTAGGGTCCTCAGCGCCCGTGTGTGAGTGTGAGAGGATGTAACAGGATACAGATGCGCTGCTGTGGAAAGTCGCCCCATGCAAACCATCCATCTGGTGCAGGTAACCAGGATGGATGGCAGACTCCTCGGGGGGATGGTGGGCAGCTGAGATGTCAAAAATATATACATCACCCAATGTAAATGCCACAACATGCAAATGCTGTTTTCCCTCCTGCACGGGGTGGTCTCTCGTTCTTATTGCAACACATTCTGGAAAAGCCTCTTGGGAAGCACAATGAGGCTTTTAAATATGTATTCTTATGGAAACGTTGGAGAGTGCAACTGTCTGCGCGCTGCAGGTGAATCACATGATCTCAGACCGCAGTATAACGGGAAGAATATAAAAAACACCCGTAGGGGCTTGTTTTACTTTTTGTGTTTTAGACTTCAATTGCATATTCAAACTATCTCAGAAAACTTAAAATGAATTGGCACAATCTTAGTCATCTGTCCACATTCATGCCAGCGGCTTGCTCCGGTTGCCATGGCAATATGAACCGCTCCCGCCCCCATG